TCCGGATGAAAGGCTCTCGAGTGCTGAACCACTGGTCGGCCCAGGCTTTCTGTACGGTTGTTTTGATCCATCGCCGGAGATCTGGAAGGGGGACTTTGTCCGTGAATCTCGGACCCGCCGGTCCAGTTCCAGCGAGTTTGTCTGCTGCTTCATTACCAGGTATTCCGCAATGACTGGGGATCCATGTAAAAATGGTGCTGCTCGGGGCGTATTCGATGGAATCAGTTAGTATTACGATTGGCTGGTTTGCTGGTGACGTGGCCGCATGGAAGATTGCGGCCGCTTCGGCCGAGTAAACGGAGCATTGTTGTGGTAAGTTGCTGCTAGGGAGTATGCCACTTCCGGATACTCCGATGCCAACGCCCGTGTTGGATCGGGAACCATCGGTGTACCGGTGAGTGTGTTCGGCGTAATGGGTTCGGAGGCGTTCGATTACTGTGCGCCGAAGGGCCGCGGAGTTGTCTCCTGCTTTAAATCGATTTTTTTATGTGATAGTCAATATGAATGCTGGAAGAGAGCCAGTTCTTCTCTCCGTTCCAGTGGGTCCTAGCCACTGGGGGGAGGTCAATGCTGGCGATCGTCTGCAGGATTCTGTCCCCCTCGTCGAGGAGGAAGATTCTGCCGTTTCCGCTCAAGTTCTCCAAATTTATCTTAAACTATTTTTGAGCTTCCATCATGTTTTAAATGTCTCTTTCAAAATCTTCAAATTTCCCTGAAATCGTATAAAAAAAAAACAAATTGCCGAATTTCTCTGAAGTTCTGCAAATTTCACTGAGGATTCATTAAAATTTCTGAGATTGTAAAAAAAATTAGAAAATCTACACACATTCTTGAAGTTCTTTAAATTATTTCAGAAGTTCTGTAGCTTTGTTCTGAAGATTTACGAACTTCACTGATGTTCAATAATTTTTCAAACTTCTGTAAAATTCTTTATATTTAACTATAGATTCTTGGACTGCAGTTCCGCAAATTTCTCTGTTGATTTGCAAAATGTCGCTTATAGTTTAACAAATTGATCTGGAAATATTTTAGCTTGCTTGAAGTTTCGAATTTTTATTTTTTATCATTTATCTGAAGACTACGATCTCTCTTGTAAATTTTTTTCAATGTGTGCAAATGTCTTGTAATTTCTGTAAAATTTTCTAAAGATTTGTAGCTCTATTTTCAAGATCTACGAACTACCCTGAAGCTCTACAAACTTCTCAGTAGATCTCCGAAACTTTCTGAAGCTCTAAAAACATCTTAGTAGGCTCTCAGACCTGCTCTCTGGCATGCTTATTCTTACATGCTCAGTATTATATAAACACTGTTTTGTTGACCAGGCCATGATCAAAGCCATAACGGTATCTTTCGGTCAATCACACTGGAAAATAAAAATCAGGCAAATCATACGCAGGACAATATTTAATAGTGAAATCGGTGAAATCGGCTACTGGATGCCATCCAAACACAGATAATGCGTTTTTAGCAGTTAAAATCGGTGAAATTTTTGAAAATAAAAAACAATATTTTATCCTCAATTAACCACTTCGTTCGAGCAGTTAAAATGACGTTTACTAGCACTCGAACTTTGAAATAAAACATTATTTTGAGATTTTTTCTTCTGGAACCACGAGAAAAGTAACCAACATTTGTGCGTTTCATAAAAAAATATAAATTAGTTGGTCCATTTTTGTGAAATCGCTGGTAGAAAGTCACGCCAAAACTGCTTGACAAAGTGGTCAATTGCGACTTTTTCTAAATAGAGCTGGAATTATGGCGCAACAGCTTTTGTAAACAATGACTTCTTTTGATGATTTCTAGAAAATTAAGGTTCGCCAACGCAAATCAACAACGCCATCGAGTAGAGGAAGACTTCATCTATCCGACGGTTATGTTGGCTTGACTGGGTGTGCCTTGAGTTCCTAGAAATCGTCGATAGAAGTCATTGTTTACAAAAGCTGTTACACCCTAATTCCAGCTATATCTAGATTTTGCTGAACAAGTCGAATGCAAATTAAACACAAAACTATTTCGTTCGACAAATCAAAGGTCAAATCTAATCATCATGTCGAAAAAGTGCGAACGCATCCGAACATTGCATCTGACAAAAATTATCGAGCAGTCCGCTCGAATCAAACCAACAAATCAGATAGTCTAAACGCACCTTAAACGGAGGTCTCCATGGCAACGCTTCATAAACACATACGGGCAACTCTCCACTCACTTTCGGACCAGCCTTTCACAAGGTAAGTCGCACAATAAAAATCTTCGTGATACACGATTTGGTGAAAACAAAAATTATTGAAATGTGAGATTTTGAATTTTTTTCTAGATCACAGATTTGAAAGAATAGCATAATTATGGGTCGTACAGTCATAATTGTCAAGGTTCTGAGACTTGGAAGGGCTATAAAAAATTACGCAAAAATCTTTAGAATATTGCGGACGTTTGGAATTTTTAGTAAAATTTAAAAGTATTTAAAGTGTTAGCAAATTATTTAAGGGAAAGCGGACGTCATACATTTTTGGAAATTCAAAAGCAGTTTTTTCGTTTAAAACCAAAATTCTGTCAATGAAAATGTGTCCACTACGGTAGGAAATTACCATATTTTCATAAAAGAAATTATCGTTTTGAACGAAAAAACTGCTCTTGAATTTTTGAAAATTAATGACGACCTCTTGTAATAATATTGAACAATTGTCACAAATGAATTCAAAATGTCTAACCAGAGTAAATTTGGTTTTAACTAGTTTCCTACCCTACAAGCAGGCTTACTCGCATCGGGCTTTTTCGCTGCCACTGCCGTTCCACTTCCACTAGCCATTGCGTTCTGGCATTTACTCTCAATATTAGTCGGGGCTACAAAATGGTGAGTTGACAACCTGGAAGGAGAGTGATTCCTAGCTCCGGTCCTCACAAGTCCCTACTTCACGCCTCCTCGAGTCATATGATTACAAACGACTACCAGCTAAATATGGACACTAGGTGGTGTAGCCTGGGCAATGTTGTCAATCCGACAATAGCAAAGTGAGGAGGTGCGAATCGAACACTGGCGTGGTAACCATAGCACGGCTTTAGTGGAAATGCTTCGCCTCCGAGTGTCTGTCCACCACGGAGGTGCGGCTCAAAAAGCGTCTTCCCTGGAAGCTACACCTAAGATGGCATTCTCATCAGAGGATAAGAGACCTTAGGCCAGCAAAAGACAAGAAGGAAGATGGTTATCAGTTAGGTAAGTTACTTCATCATCAAAGGTAAGTCACCGTTTTTACTTTCACCAAATGATAGCATATTTGTTTATTAGTTTATTTGGTTCTACATCAACAGACTGGGTTTAGTCCATATGATACTAGGAAATACAAAATAGTCAAGAAGCATCAAGCTGCAAAGGCCGTGAAGTCCAACTTAATTCCTAATTCTTAAAAATATATCACGGAATCTCTGACGCAGCGTCTCGCGTGTGAAGTGAAAATCAAATAAGGAAGCAACACGATTGTAAACCCTTTGTAGCCCATTGATAGCACCATACGAACTATAGTTTGTACGACGAAAATGTATCCTCAGCATTGCTCTGTTACGGAGTGCTCGTGGTTGAACGATAACGTCGATTTGTTGTAGAATAGAAGGACAATCGATTCTGCCCTGTAGAATGTCTGCCACAAACAGGGCGCTTGTCGAATCTCTTCGACTCCACAAAGGATCCAGGTGAGTTAAACTGGCACCGACTTTCGTAGCTTGGAAGGCGATGAGGATCCAGCAAACCAGATGAATCGTCGTTGAATAGACTCTACTCTTTGTACACTGTTTTGCTAGTTAGGATTCTAAACAGGGCATCAGTATTCTAACACCGACCGGACGAGGGAGCAGTAAAGCGACTTCAAACAGTAGATGTCCGTGAAACTTTTAGCCATCCTGAAAATGAAGCCGAGCGTTCTGGATGCCTTGTCGATGACGTACGAGATATGCTGGCTGCTTGTAAGTTGACAATCTAAGATGACTCCCAGATCCTTAATGTGATTCACACGATGTACGTCAACGCCTTCTAGGATATAACTGAATGTAATTGGATGTTTCTTCCGTGAGAACGTGATTACTGAACATTTTGTTGGATTTAGAACCATGCGGTTCAGTTGGCACCAATTAGCTAAAGCATTGAGTTGGAGTTGGAGAAGGTGGCAGTCAGCGATGGCTCGGATTCGGAGATAGATTTTCATGTCGTCTGCGAACGACAGTCGTGGACCGTCGAGGACGAAATTGACGTCGTTGAAATACACAAGCCATATCATCGGGTATGCCGAGGTGCGGAACACCCGAAGTGGCAGGGAACGAAGGAGATCGGCTGTCGTCGATTGCGACTTCCAACTGTTGATCAGATAGATAGGATGCGAACCATCGTAGGAGACTGCCGTTTACACCGAGCCTATCCAGTTTGGCGATCGCTATTGGATGGTTCAACTTGTCAAAGGCGGCTGATAGGTCAGTGTAGATGACATCTGTTTGCATATGGTCTGTCATACTCTTCGTAATGTACGAGGTGAGACACAGAAGGTTGGAAGTATTCGACCGCCCTGCCATGCAACCATGCTGGTCTTCGCTCAAGTGCTGCTTGAAGTGAGAGACTAATGGTTCCATAACGACCAACTCGAACAGCTTAGATATGGCACACAACGATGTGCATCCCATCTTGTGGACTGGAAACATCTCAGCTGATTTCCGGCAGGAAGGAAACACCCCACTGGAGAGGGACATTTCGAACAGAAGGCAGAGAGGAGCCACCAGGCTATCGATGTGTTGCTTGAGAATGACGGAAGGAACTCCGTCAGGTCCAGGCTTAAATGAAGACTTCAGTTGCGAAGCCGCCCTAGTTATCATAGCAAGGTCGATGTTGATAGCTGCCAAATTTTGATCAGGCATTGCAACATTGCTGGCTGCTAGAGAAAAGCAAAAGCATATGCTTATAAAACTTTATATTATTATATGAACCAATTAAGGATGGGAAGGGGAGGGACCACCAGGCATCCAATTGAAGCGATTTTGATGGGGAGAGTGAAATTGTCAACTCCCTGTTGTTAACATCTCGTGGAAAGGGCTTCTCCACACTCATTGGGGTATCCTTCTGTTGGACGGCTCGTGTTTTGAGCTTGTGAAGGAGATTCTCTATCATCCTGTGGAGGCGTAAAGGTGAATTTACCTATCGATCCATCAAAACCGTTTTCGGCCTTTCATACAGTGACATGTTGAAGATAATCAGAGGTTATTAAGCTTGATCAAATCAAACAGTGAGAAGCGCTCTCTGCTTTCGGACTAAGTTTCCGTGCCTCAATGAGTGGTAGACAATTATCATACATCATACATTACTCTTAATATAAGTCATAAAAAGTGACTATAGTGATAAAATTTTAAGAAATAGTGACTTTTTGTGACTTGGAATTTTTAGTGAAATTTAAAAGTATTGACATTGTTTATTTCAAACAAATATTGAGGAGGATTCCCACATAATTTTCACAGGAGCATTATTCTGACATAAAGAGAAAATTGATAGAAGAATTTGGAGTGATTTCTGTGGAGAGGAATGCAAGTTCTTAAGTAAATTCTGAGGTAATTTTAGATGATTTCAAAAGGAGTTTTGAAAAAAAAAAACTTAAAGGAAAATTCCTACGTGCACACTTAGAAAAATTGATGTAAATTTAGGTGCTCTGAGACTGACATATACAAGCATCAATTTTTACATAAAATTGAGTCATAATAAACGCAAAATTCAGCTCAATCAAACGTACTTTCGAACTTTTCAGTCTCGAAGCACTTCATTTTACATGACATGTTTGTTTACGTCTCATCCTTTATGTCAAATATGGATTCCGTCACGTGTATGTTTCAGTATTTCTAAGTGTGTGATTCTGAGGAGATTTGTACGGGGATCTTGAGGAAAATGACAGATGAATTTGAAGGAGAATTCTAAGAGAATTATGATGGAAATTCAACAAGGAACAGATTTCTAATAGTGTTCTGGGGATAATTTCAACCCTAGTGTGAAATATTCTGTTATCAACAAAATTGATTGCAAAAAAATGCTGATAATTAAAAGGAAATTCTTTAAAATGCTTCAAGGGGTTTCTAAATAAAATTTCAAAAGATTTGCTGCTTTGAATAGAATTAAAAGAAAATTTTGAAAAGAATTTCAAAGGAATCAAAGTCTCCGAATAAGTTCAAGAGAATTTTAAGAAGGATTCCAATCAAATTCTTAGAAGGGTTTTTTTTCCTCTGTTCGGGACCTAACACCATTGTGACCTGTAATTTGATCTATTGTAGTATATCCCGTGTCTTTAGTTTAGTGCATGTCATATTACTCCATCACTATTGAGAAATGATGAAGTATTCGATTTTTTTTACAGTTGTCATTCTTGCATTTATCGCAAGGATCCGACTCTAATTGAAAGGTCCCGCTATTTATACCCTTCAGAGTGTTGAAACACCCTCCCACTTTGTCACTCAAAATTGGATTCCTTAGCAACAAAATTAAGGAATGACACACCGTTAATGACCATGCATCAGAACCCTAGTTTTAACCACTTCAAACTAGAGACCAACGAATAGAAGATTAGAAATCACATAGATGAAGACTACCTAACTCATTTTTTTTTCTTGTTTCAAGATCATCCTCAGTGGACAAAGCCAAGTCTTGTCACTATCTAAAGTAACAAGATGTGTTCCTTGGATTACTTAAAAATCCTGTTCCCCTAGTTTGGAGTAGTCAGGACTAGGAATCGGTGGTAGATCTTACATCCCGTAACGTACCACGAAAAGGGGATCTACCCACGTTACAGGGCTAAAAGAGGTTTCAAGGAAGTTCAACATGAATTCAACGGTAATTACACGCGGAGTGTTTTCTGGTTAATTCCAGAAGAATTCCATGATAATTCAGAGCAGAATTCCAAGTTAGTTCTGGAATTTATATCGAATTTTCAATAACGAAAATTTAACACCCCGGAAAAGAATAGTTCAGATTCGGTTTTTACAAATATTCGTTTCCAAAGTCCAGCATCATCAATATTTTATTTTAAGGCGCATTGCATCTGAAATTGAAACGACAAAAATCAATTTGAAATATTACTGAGTGATTGAATTTTTTACCATTAAATGTTTTAATGGATTACTCGGAAATTCTGGTGAAATCATTTGTTCCTATGGTATGGTAAATTTCCCGGTTTTCCCAGTTTACTGGCCACCCTGTAACAGTCATCGTCAAGGTAAACCATGTCAATTGTCTATGACGAACATGTGTAGATTTTTTTATTAACAAAATTTGTAACGAAATTAAATCACTTGAGCAACACAATTACATGGAGCCGCTAAAGTGAACAAGCATCTACGTCCTGATCTGCTTGGATAACAATAATGTGACCAGGTAAATCTTTGTCAATGACGAAAAAATGAATACGATTTTGACGAAGGTTTTTTTGAGGATCAACTCTGTCAGTGACTATGTGACGAACAATTTTGTCAATATCAGCACTGGTTATAATGCATTAAATACCTTAAATTTAAATTTGAATATGCGGACACACCAGCATATTACAGCTCACAGAATAGAATTGGATCCGCCGTGAACCTTCCCTCTAATTAAGGCTAGCCCGAGTTTCTGAATTGTAATCAATAAGTAATTTAATCAACCTTCCTGTTTCACCCCACGCTTCCCTCTCGATCGGAACAGATTCAGGCCGGCAGCCCATAATTCAACGACATAAACGTGGGTTTCATTGTGTTGTGCGAGTGCCATTCTGGGCCCCGTGTGGAGGTGGGTTCCGGTAACTGTATCTGCGGTAGCTTTTTACGGTTTTTGGGATCCGAATAACAGTATTATTTTCAATATTTCATCGGTAACAGCTATCGACAGCATGATGTCGAATTTAATTTTTAAATTTCCAGCAGCACGGTTGAGTTCGGTTTTGGCAGCGAAAATCAGCACCGTCGCAATGAATGGAGGGAAATACTTTTTCCTATCCCGGGAGGGAGGGTGAGGGAAAGGATGTGCGGTGGTTTTCGGTTTGCCTTACGATATTTAGATTTACACGGGGGGTTGGCTTTAGGAAGGTGTTTGAAACAAACACGCAATGAGTTGCGGTAGTTGGATTTGGTCGGGCCCAGAGTTGGAAAGATCGGAAAGGAGAAGGAAAATCTATTTCCTGATTTCGTGCACGCTTCTCGCCATTTCCTGTGAAGGAATGGGGCTTCTAAATAAAAAATGTTATACAACACCCTTACGATGGATGATCAAGAAAGGAGGGAGGTGGTTTCAAGTAGGGCGCAAATCGGCTTTATTTACAGAGTACGTTGAAATGATAATGCTATTTGTCTAAATCAACTGAAAGTGTATAGCTATCTATCGTGCGGGTTTGGTCGGACTCGTAACGAATGAAGATATTTACCTCGATGAAATCATTAGTGTCGGAGCTTCCGGTTTACCGCCGCTCCTCTTTTTCTAATCCCATCGCCTTTGCTTGCTAGCTACTGTTTGAAGTCAAAATAATTTGATTTACTTGCATGGGTACGAAATGGGAAAGTTTCGCCATTTTAAATAAATTACATTCTATTCTCGCTTTTCCGGACTTGTCACGTAATCCTATGTCTCGTTCGCTGCATGCCAGTTATGGAACTGCTCATCCTCACTACCCTCATCATATCGTTGCTACATGTATATATTCGTAATAATAATCCATCTTGAATTATTTAATTTTTCCATAACTTAATTATCTAAAACAACAGTCCGGTAAGGAACTTCACTCTCCCGTTCATACTTTTACTCAATCACTCTGACTATCTCTCTCACGCATACATTTCTCTGAAGATAAAAACCTAACCTCGTCTTTGAAACTTGCTTATGTTCACCTAATCTTCCAATTGAATTTTGTTCTGAATTGAATGAATCCTAACCTCTTAAGTAGTACTTTTAAGTTAAAATTTTGGTTTTTTACTTAATTGAATTACATTTGTTCAGTTAGTGGCGTGTATGTGTCTGTGTGTGTGTACCGAGCTCGTTCGGTAGGTTCGATGATTTCTAGTTACCTAAGGGCTAGTTGACTGCTAAAGTGGCGCTGCCTCTGGAGCAAGTTTGTGCTACAAGCGCCACTGACGGACGACGATGCCACGATGACGATGAAAAGAGCAGCGAGTGTCGTCCACATGTTGCTGCTGGGACCTTTGCTTTGCGCGCCGTTGTGAGCTGCGGAAGGGAGTGAAGAATTGGAAAATATGTATTGATTTTGCTATGGAATATAGTGGAGGGCTTCCCGTAACATTGTCGGTATAGGTGCAGTTATAAAGCAAGACCATGTTGGAGGTGGCTGGGTTCGATTTCCGGTTCGGTCTAGGAATTTTTCGAGTGGGAAAATTTCTCGACTTCCCTGGGCATAAAGTAATATTAAAATGGTACAGGCATCGAAAGCTTTCAATTAACACTCCGAGCATGATGCCTCCGGTAAAATGTGTAATGGCAAACTTGCAAGGTTTGAAAAATCATAGCCCAGTCATTTATTGATGATTTTCAAATCTTTTAGCAACACTTGAAACTACAGACTTTGAAGATTTATTCGATATCAATAGATTTAAAGTCTATTAAGTGAGAAATGATGTTTCAAACATTGCCAATTTGCCGTTACACATTTTACCGTAGGCATCGTGTTCGGAGTGTTAATAACTGTGGAAGTGCAATTAGAACACTAAGTTGAGAGCACGCAATTAGCTATTATACGATAATCAATAGGCTTGAAATGCAAAGAAGAAGAAGAAGATGGAATATAGTGGTGACAATTCAATAAATCCAATAGACTGGACACACTTTACACCTGTTTATTATTAGGGAGACTTTCAGCCTTGGGCTGGTTCGCCTCCACTGTTTAAATTTTGGATACATCTCCACTGACCACCAAACATAAGGGCTTGTTCCACTGAACAACTTTGCCCAATGTAGAATCCTTCTATGCATATGACCGAGATATTCCTTGTTTGAACCAATTGAGAATACATAAGTTTTTAGAGATTGTTGGACTGAAATTGAGCACTCTAGGGCTGACGAATGTAAAGATATCGCCGAAACCACAATTTACCCTGCTCACATCTAAATGGAATAATATCACAAATCCCGAATTATTTAAACTGATAACCACATAGGAGAAAGTCATCAGGCAATAAGCAATTCAAGGAAGTGATTTGCTGTTAAATTTACACTACTTGCCAAACATTGCAAATCGATGTGCAAATCCATTGGAAGAGATCATACCGAAGCACGATGAAATTAACAGCAAATCACATCATTTTAGATTGCATTGCACATCGTTGTTGATGTGCTGTGCTATGAGCTCGAAATGTCAAGCATACTGATAATTAAAATCTATCACTTTAAGTTAAAATAATTTATCCATAAATTATAATTATGTGCCACGATCGGTCTGTTTTCTCGGCAGCAACCATTGTGTGGTCCTTCTTATTGTTCTTCATCAGCAGTTCTTTCGGTCGATGTGTCGTCGACTTTGGAAAGCAACCGTTTAGTGATGAGTGTGTGAGTGCTGACCACGTTTTGCGTCCATTGCTGCAATGGAAGTGCTCTGACCCCCGTTGGCAATACTGCCATACAATGAAAGCACTGGAAGCGGCTCCCGTTCTGATGGAGGAGGCTTTTTGGATAGCGGAAGATAAAGTGTTTATTGTGTTGTACCTTTTGACTATAATTTTAAGATGTATTGTATAATGACCAAGAATCCTCGGTTCTTTAAAGTTAATTCGGTTGAGCCTTATCAAATAAATTAATAAACAACCATCATCATGTGTCTCCCATTTAATTTTGCACTTATTGTGAAACACATCCATTTCATGTGTGAATCTTATGCTGTGAACCAAGCCTCAACACTATTGATTAGAATTGTGACACACTCGGAATCTATGTGCCTCACATGGTGATATCAATACTTTTGCACATCGTAGTCCAATGTTCTATTATATTCTACTTTATCGACTTCTACTTTATCGACTCCAAAATTGAATGAACAAATATATAAACAAAGCTGCCGGGGGCAGAACTCACACATCCCTTTTTTTAATGGGTCTGATTTGAGATTTGATCCTGGACTGTTGAGGTGTGCTGCTGCCGGTCTCACTAGGCCACGTTTGTTCTCATATATGAGGCTGTTTGATAAGAATGAAGTCACAACTCATGTTTTCGATGTTTACCTTGCAGAACTAGCAATTCACATCGCATTGAAATGCAAATCACTTCAAATCCATCTGTTTCGAACAGTACTGTGATTCAATGTGCAATACACTTAAATAATAGAGAAAGAATATCAACATTTCAAAGTTTCATACACTAGAAACCAACGTGTAGAACACATTAAATCATGGTGACATACACTTAACATTAATGCGATTGTGCATAGGAATAGTCAAGTGTTTAAACACTTCGATCAGTCGTGTGGATTTTTTTGAGTGTAGAAGCAAGACGTCTCGAGACATTGAGTAATAGATTTGATAAGTTTGACAATGTTTGGTAATCGAACTTATCTGAATAATACACTATTATTGAATACAGCAAAATTTCGTATTGCTCACGCTCTAGAACGCAAAGGTGGAGATGGAGAATTGTCACTTCTCTCGCTTGACTTCATTTGTTGTTTATTTGCCATCTTCGCGAGTAATATTTGTCATGTGCGTTTTAGACCTTTGCTTCCAAAAGCAAAACTAATCAAATTCAATGGATGAAAACAGTGGTGCCAATTTAAATGATAATCATTTTGATTTAAAGGTGTTAAACAATATATATTTTTCAACGACAAATCACTTTGTTTCAAAACGCAAATAACTTGAAAATCAATCCTGATGAATGTGGGCGTTAGACAGATGCAAAATTTGAAATTTTCGCTCCACAGTGCTCAAACGGTTCCAAATTGGGCCCTGACTAGCCTCCCAAAATTTGAACTCATTTAGTGAGAAACTGACTTGGCACAAATCGTTTGAAGTTTATATGGGAATTACTATGGAGAAACCATAGTTTCGGTTAATATCTATCTCAAAATTCACCAGTTCACTCTACTTTAGAAAATGATAGCTAAGCTTATTGAAAATTTTCTCTTCTTCAACTTTTTTCGATCAAATGTAAGGAACAAAAAATATTAATGATTCAAGTCACTGATGTTTTATGATTATGCTCGATCAACTGTTCAGCAGGCAACATTGGTGTTTATGGCGCGTAGAATAGAGGACAAAAATCATGGCTACTATGTCACACTGCAGAATACAGTGTTGCCCACAATACAGTTTCTTAATCTTTGGCAAGATTGTCAATCTCTTAAACAAATAATAACTATTTAATTTGACGTTTGGCTAAAAAACGAATTTCCGCAAAGTTGTAGCTGATAAAAATTCCAATAATAATAGCAATAGAATTTGTTAACAGTACAATATGTAAAAAGACTAGAAGTAAATGAACAAAAAGTTTTGTTTTCCCATAGTAATTTCCATATAAACTTCAAATGGTTTGTGCCAAGTCAGTTTCTTATCAAATGAGTTTAAACTTACGGAGGCTAATCAGGACCCGATTTGAAACCGTTTGAACACTGTGGAGCGAAAATTTCAAATTTTGCATCAGTCTAGTGGGCGTCTTAGTAGACTACCTGTATAATGAGAGAGAGAGAGAGAGAGAAGGATTAGTAATTTCCATTTAATTCCAAGGTAGTGGAATTATATGGAAATTGCTAATCCTTCTCTATCATTATTATTGAAAATCAATGATAAATCACTTCGATTCGTAGTGCCGCATAACAGACTGAGTCAAGTGCAAGAGCATTTGGATTAGATGTGATAACTTTTTCCTGTGTAGAAAAAGATTCAGCACTGTAAAACGGGGTAACTTTGATAGTTTTTTCTTAAGTACAGTCATGATTCCTAAAGTACGGATTCGTTCTTGCCAGATTCCTATAACACGGTTGCCATTGGATTCCTATAATACGGTCGACCCGGTACTGATTGTACGGAAATTTGAAGAGACAACATCCTGATGCCCTTGGAGAAGTTGTTAAGCAGAAAGTTGGCAACCCTTTTGGAAAGAGTCTGTTTCCGGTAGGTCACAAATCTGGTTCTGTGGAAGATCCGGAACGTACGGAAAAGTGGTCAATTCATGGAACTGATCCTAGAGCTCCGTGTTTTTACCGAACACACTCAAATGAAATCATGCAATGTACGAGTATTTTTCCACATGCACAGATGTGTCCGTATAGTTGAATTCGATGCACTTTATACGATTAATTTTTACCGAAGAAAGATTCAATTAGCAGAGTAGCAATTCAGTAATGTGAACAAAATTGTTGGCTGGGTGTGGTCCTCCTCATTGTTCTTCATCCGCAGTTCTTTCGGTAGATGCGTCGTCTTTGGAAAGCAACCGTTTCGTAATGAGTGTATGACTGATGAACACGTTTTGCGTATATTGCTGCAATGGAAGCGCTTTGCCCACCGTTGGTGATACTTCCATACATTTAAACCACTAAAAGTGGAACCCGTTCTGATGTAGGAGGCATATTGGATAGCGGAAGATAAAGTGTTTATTTTGTTGTACCTTTTGAAAATAGTTTTAAGGTGTTTTGTATAGTGAACAAGAATCCTCAACAGTATGGGTCCCCTCACTTTGCTCAATCTCAGGCAATGAGAAGGCAGACTCTCTTGCAAAGATGGGGGCACAACAAGGCGAGATTTATGATAGAAGAATTTCACATGATGAATTTTCCCCATTAGTACGTCAGAGTTCTCTTTTAAGGTGGCAAAACGATTGGACAAGTAATCCTCTTGGGCGGTGGTTACATTCCATTATTCCAAATGTTTTTTTCGAGAGCGTGGTTCAAAGGTCTGGATGTAAGTCGGGGATTCATTCGCGTTATGTCAAGGCTTATGTCAAACCACTACGCGCTAGACGCACATATCAACAGAATAAACCTCGTTGACAGCAATATATGTAGGTGCAGAACCGGTTATGATGACATCGATCACGCAGTTTGGTATTGCCCGGGTAATGACGCCTCCAGAGCACGATTGTTGGATACCCTAGTGGCCCGAGGTAGACAATCCTTCCGTGAAGTAAGAGATGTATTGGGAACCCGTGATTGTTACCCATTAACCTCGAGCCCGCCACGAGTAATTGGTACACAATACCAACCTAGAACTACTGCTGTTTAAAATGTAAATTCAAGCATGACTGATTTTTGGCTCCGCAAAGTGTCACACACGATTGAGCCTAGTAAATAAACGAACCAGTTAAAGAAAGGAATCCTCGGCTCTGTAAAGTTAATTCGATTGAGCCTCATCAAATAAATCAATAAAAAAAAGATAGTCACAACTCCGAATTTATTCGGAAAAGATGTCTAAGTGGTTTCGAAAAAAACATGGAGGTCTAGGATCATTTTCACTAATTGACCACTTTTACCAATGTTTCGGATCTTTCGGTGGACCATACCGTGGTCCTCAGGGTTCAGAATGCAGTCACAACTCCGAATTAATTCTGATAAGACGTCTATGAGCGTTTAAAAAAAAACTCGGAGCTCTAGGATCAGTTTCATGAATTGACCACTTTTACCGATTTTTCAGATCTTTCGGTGGACCATACCGTGGTCCCAAGGATCCATTCCATATGGTAGAGAGTTTGCTTTGTGACAAGCGACAGTACGGACGTTTGTAGATCGCTCTCTACCTTTTTCGGTTGATGATTTTTTTTTCATGTAGGGCTGTGCCTCCCGGATTTTGACTAGTTTTGTTTAAAGAGCCTGAATTTATAAAGAGACGACATGTCAAAATTGGAACAATCGATTGTCTGTCAAAGTCATAGGAAAAGTCATTCCAATCGAGCAGAAGACCTGTCAAATGGATAAGATGTCGCCTCTTTATAAATTCAGGCTCTTTAGTTTTGTTTTGTGTTCGTATTCCGTTACCCGGGTGACAGTCACGTGAGTGCGGTGAAATGTTTTCTGTTGTGGTACAAGAGATGGGTTTCTTACAATCCCAATATTTAGCTAGGGGCACTCTTTATAGTGGGTTTTGTTTATGTTCCCATCGTCGCGAGTGCGTATTAATGTTCAAGACTGTCGACCGTCGTTGGAGATGTTCTCAAAACTGCGCAAGTGGCCACCCAAAGTGCATATCCTTTCAAATGTTTTTATCACACATGGCTGGAGTAAATTGGATCGGTCAGGTGAGACCCTTCCTTTTTGTTTGCCTACATTTTATTTTAAATTGAATTGGAATTAAAATTGAGGAGCCCGGCTTGCTTGACGGCTACCGCTTTTGCTTATTGAGTGGGTTTATTCCCAAACTCCTCATAAACAACACAATTACTATGGTCGCATCGCCTGCTTCAGCAAATCCTGACCCATCTCAACTATTCAACTCCGTAGCATCTATGTGGGCGTCGGTGACTCGCTAGTCTACCGTTAAGTAGATGTTACATCAACAATATCCTTTCTTTCCCCGTAACGGAGAAAATGGGCGTGGCCGGCAATGATAATTGTCATGATTTTCCTGTTCTGAACTTTGATTGAAGAGCTATTCACTCCAGAACAGCTATCCTCAAGCAATCAGAATAAGAACGTTAAAAGTAGATACATGACAGTTGCCGGTATGCAAACGCAATTAGCTCTAATCCCGGTTCCTATTGTGCGGTTTCTATTAACCGTACTATAGGAATCTTGTACTGTGTGTTGTACATATACTGAGGATCCTAGAGTAAATCCGTTGTCTTGTGACCGAACATTAGTTTTTTGTTTGTTTAGGGGTTACTTTAATAATTCTCGAATGTAGAAAAACATGCGTATATCTCAGTCAATTACACGATACCAAAAGTAATACCCTAATCTGTAAAATGGAACCAATGTTTCCAATTCGAAAACAATGCAGAGAGTAAATTTAATCATTCTATTCTACCATCAAAGTTACCCACATTATCAAAGATACCCCGTTTTACGGTACTCCCAGAGAACATAGCTCAAAGTTTAAAAAAAAAAAAAACTAGCAAAGTACGCTTTACGTCTTCTGCAGTGGGGAAATGAATCAAAATAAAATTAATTTTCTGGCAATTCGCCTAACTTCCCCGGAACCGTACTTTAAGCTTAATTCGAATGGGGCGAAAAAAACTCCGCCAAATCCATGACATTGCGTTCGTCGAGTGGGAGCATTCGTTTTCCTTTTATCAGGTTTATTTCATTAATATTATAAGACGCTTCACATTCCACTGAGCAGAAGAGTGCTCCGAAACAATTTCAATTCGGGGAAAACGAAAATCCCTTCGCCCTACAATAACTGTTTCTGCTAGAGGAAAAAGAAGAAGAAGAAGAAAAGGCTCACCTTGAACGCGATCCGCCCGGGTGTTGGAAGCGACAGCCTTCCGCGATTCCAGCATCGGGGCCTTTTGCGGTTTGTCGCCTTCGACGCTTTCCTCGTTGCTTTTCCAGTAGACGGTCGAGATCGTGGCGAGACACTGCCGGCCAGATGAAAGAAGGATGGAGAAAAGTGGAATAATGAAAACAATTTAAAACAATCCACGCCAAAGTATGTTGATGTTGGTTTTGTTTGTGAATGAATTTTCTTAATAATTCGGTCTCGGTTCGTCCCTTACCTTCAGTTTCATGTCGCCTCGCTTGAAATGTTTTGGCTTGACACGGAACTCCAACCCGAGGATGGAGGTTTCCAGCTTGTCTGGGCCGGAAATTATGGGCTCATACTTTCGTATCAGTGATTGGTCTGCCTGATCACTGTTGATGTACCAGGACAGTTGTACTACGGGTTTGGACCGACCGGAAGTGCAGTTAACCCGCACGTAGTCACCAATCTGGTAGCGGGGCTTCCCACCCGTTATGTGCGGATCTTCATCGGGAAGAACTGGCCAAGCGGAAGAACGTGTAAATGTAATTTCCGATAACGGTGGTGCATTGGCAGCGAAATTACTCACCTACGACTGTCATCTCCGTATGTTCGGACACGGTTTGGAAGGATGGAGCTTCGGCTGATACTTCACATCGATACTTCCCACTGGAAGCCAGCTCGACTGGATCCAACACGACATGGTCGTTGGATGAATTTTGTACCTGTATCACGTCATTCCGGTCCGGAATATAGATGGAACAGAAATAGAAGGAAAAATGATTCTCATCATCATAATCATCGTTCCAATTGGTATGGATATGGGGTTGGGGATTACTTACGTCTACATTTATTCCTTTCAGGTCGAAAACCTGGATGGGCGGATCATCTCGTGGCACGAAGCGGTAAAACTCGTTGCCGTCTTTGTACCACTTGACCGCATACAGCGCATCGCCTTCCATCTCGTAGTGGCACTCGAGTCGAACCGGGAGATCCTTGACGGTGTGTTTAGGCACTCGTACATCCAACAGCTTGATTCCGAAGGCTGTTTCTGTGGATGGAAGATGGTGGAAGAAAAGGGGGATGCATGAATGGAAAGTTTATGTCGGGCGAGCTGGGCGATTTATTTTCGAGTCAATATGCTTTAAGATTTCCAGCATTGAAACATATTTTTCAAAACAGTCCTACAGTGCTGTTCGAAATAATAGCAGCGCATGCCGATTTTCATACAAAACTGACAACTTTGACATGTTGTAACTTTGCTATCTTAAGATAAATTGAGCTGAAACGTTCGCCACAGAACTACAAATATGTTCACGATTGAAAAATACCAAATTTCTGGAACCACCTGCCAGAAAGTGAGTAACACTGTTTGAAATAATAACAGTTTTAGTAATTTGCATTTGAGCTCAATTGCGATATTTTAAATTTTCCATTTTTCAAAATTAAAACAATTCCCACCCAATTAAGATAATAGTTAAAAATGTCTTAAATAGAGGAATTTACGTATTCTCGTTAATCTACGGAGCGTCCGCACTTCTATTAGCATTTTCTCAGCGTCACGCACATATATGACGTGTCTGTTTGTTTAAATTCATCTGTTGCTTGCTTATCTAACCATTCCATTCGACAAAATTCTTCAAAACTGTTTGAAAGCGTTATAAAAACGCTCCAAACTTTTTAGGTGAGTGTGACTATTGTCGGCAGTCTCTTTTTCTTCGGCACCCTCCCCATTAGATCTGCGTGTTAACCAGCTGTTCTAATGGGTGTTCAATAAAAAATAAGAAAGATTTCAGTGCCATCCAGCGCTCTTGTGAGAGCATCGCGACTAAGTTGCGTCATACGGCTGACCAGGGCCCCTACTCCAATATTCATTGACGTTTTTTTGAAGAATAAACATAATGTTTTAAAAAATTACTGAATTCATTGAAATTTTTTTTACTAGCTTTATGGCTGAAAAAATTCTCATTTTTTATTGAACACCCGTTATTATCGGCAACTTGAAATCAACCCCATTGTGTAGCACGTATGCTTCATTTTGAAGACAAATCTGGCATACCAGGATTTTGCTCGGTCGTACAAATATAATCAGATTGAAGCTTAAAGACTAAAGAATCGTTTGGATGCATTCAGGGAAGTGTATTGAAGGTAGAACAAAGTGAAATTAACGTTTAAATTTTAGTTGCCGAAAACAGTCTATGGGTTCCGAAGCCGACATTTACCCTATTTGCAGTATAGTAAATTTTCAAATCAAACATCTTTACAGAGTGATTCAGAGTAACTACCACCGATTTTACAAATATGCAATTCTCAATGAGTAAAATGAGTTTATGTTCACGGTTTTTTTTTTTTTTTGTTTTAAAGTGTGTCAAAATATCAGCTTGTTTTGATAGTAGGTTCGTTTTCGATTTCAAGCAGCCATGGCGGTGTAAATGGAACATGATATCTTTAAGAAACTGAAATCTCTTCGAAAGAATGAAACATTTATTTTTCGCATCATTATAGAGGTACAAAGGAACCATGCTTGGAATAACCGTTCAATATCAGAACTTAGACGCATCGCCAGGACTGCAAAAGTGCTGGAACTAAAACGTGCGTGCTAGCTGTGGTTCATTTTCGTGACAACTGTGACCGGTAATTGTAGGTAAAGAAAGAGGAATTTGAATTAAAGTATGCTTAGTAGATATACTGATATCAAATATTATAAATTAACAATATGGTTCACTCTTCTATTCTAGACCAACAATTGAAATAGGCGGAACAACCAAACGTAAACAATGGCTTTAGACGTAAATTCCTCGAGAATCAAAGCACATCCAAGCAATCTAACACCATCATCTGATAGAGCAAAATTTCTTTTTCGAATGGTATTGTTAGTTTGCGTGGGAGTGTTTTGATTCTCGAGAATTTTGTGTTTAAAGCCATTGTTTACGTTTGGTTGTTCCGCCTATTTCAATTGTTGGTCTAGAATAGAAGAGTGAACCATATTGTTAATTTATAATATTTGATATCAGTATATCTACTAAGCATACTTTAATTCAAATTCCTCTTTCTTTACCTACAATTACCGGTCACAGTTGTCACGAAAATGAACCACAGCTAGTCCTGGCGATGCGTCTAAGTTCTGATATTGAACGGTTATTCCAAGCATGGTTCCTTTGTACCTCTATTTATAATGATGCGAAAAATAAATGTTTCATTCTTTCGAAGAGATTTCAGTTTCTTAAAGATAACATGCTCCATTTTCACCGCCATGGCTTCATCCACATCCAGAGGGCCAGTCACTTTCGAATGTATGGGAATGGTAGAAAAGGTTCAATTTCGATGTTTTTTCGAAAAATTCTAAATGTCTTTTTTTTTGACGCTTTATTTTAGATTGCAAAAATCTCGCGTCATTCGATTCCTTTTGCAATTTTACACAAAATGACGCAAGCTTTTTGCAATCTCAAATAATTCTTCGAATAAAAAAAAACTGCTATTGATTTTCGAACAAATTGAACCATAAACACTCTCCACAGTCCAGTCCACAACACTCAACTTTATTGTTTTTGTTTTAACCTATGATGGTTTTGACGTATGATAAAGAAACATGCGAAGGGGACTTTTAACGAATTTCAATAAAATTTGCTGAATTTTCTCGAATTTGTTTGGATAAATTCGATTCGTTATGAATTAACGCGCGCCTTTCGATGTTATCCGATTTCATCCACTATTCATCGATAATTTTGAATGTGTAAGATTTATCGAGCATTATGCTGATATTATATTTAGTGTGTAGCGAGATGTGAACTGTCACTTCCTGAGCACCTGCTTTTGTGATTGTTTCAAACCCTTCAAGCTTCAAGTTCCAACTCGGGAAGCAACAAAAATATCTGCACGGAGGGTTGGTGACCGAATTGACTACCGAGATTGATGGCCAAACGTAATAAAACCATAAATTTCGTATCAATGCTTATGTTCACCGGATGCCAGGGTTGTCCAAATCTATACCCAAGGCAAAGATGAATGCAGTTCCTCTTTTTTAAATATTTCTAGAAGACTTCTTTTACATGATGGTTTTGTTAGTTTGGTGGATGGCTTGTCTAGTAATCATCGAGAGAAGTCATTGTTTACGAAAGCTATTACGCACTATGTCCAGCTCTATCTATAGATTTGTTTTAGAACAAAGAGTTTCGAGCTCGACAACAATACAAAATACCTTATCTCGCATACCGAAGCTGATCTAACCAATCGAACACCACTATCGAATAGCAGAGAATTTCCCCTACCTGAAGGTGTTGTTGGTTTGGCAAGGTATGCTTCGGTTCACGATGAAAGATTTCGCGATATTCCTTTCATATAAACAAACGGCTGTCACCGTTGCTTGTCATGATAATTATAGAGATGTGATCCGAGATGTGAACGATACAAACAGATATTATCCGTTTTTAGAGATTTAAGCTCGATTATATCGGACATAATCGATAAAATGGATTTGTCCGACTATGAATCGATTTATCGATCTTTAGAGTTAGTTTTGGCAACATTTGAATAAATTTAGGACTTTCGTCCTCCTCAGAAACATATAAAAATGGCCTATTTACCAAAATGTAAACAATGACTTTAAACGTTGATTTCTCGCGAATATAGACTCAATCTGGCAAACCGACATCAGCATCTGAGAGATAATTTGCTCTATCAGATGATATAGTTAGTTTGAGTGGGTATGTTGCAATTCGGGAACAATCGACGTGTAAATGCATTGCTTACATTTGGCTTGTATGCCATTGCACATGTTGCTGGGGAACGAAGTACTCAACACGCTAACTTTAAAGTACCCATTAATAAGTAAAAAAAGGTCCATTTTGAAGAAAAGTGGCTCAACTAGCATTAGTATAGTTGAAGATGCTAATTTCAAGTAAAAGACTAAAGTGGTATTTTTTATACGATAGATGAGGAGATGACAGTATAAAGTTGATAGTTCCGTTAGAGTACGGCAGTGTGAAAATTGTACATAGAGAGTAGAAAGTGAGCAAGGACAACTTTAGGAAGGTACAAATCGGTTTGATCATCTCTCTTTACCAAACTCCCCCGTTAGAGAGGGATGGTGAGGGGTATTCCTCCTCGCCACCACTGACCAGAGTAAAGCAACTTTTCTTTAAAATGTGTATTTTTTACCCAATAATGGGTAAAATTAAATTAATGATGAAAACTAAATTTTGAGTAATCCTGATCAATGATCCATTGAGTGAAAATTACCTAACGATCAATCGAGAAAGATTTTGGTTCATGATATCTTTTGGCCATTTACCCAAGGACACCTAAAAATATTTCGGATGTGAATGCAGTTAAATATAATTACAAATGATCAAATTACTTAAAGCTCATGAGCTTTTTTTACCGCACAAAGGGTGTTGCTCAGTCTGGTTTTGATCACTTTTCTGAGATCATCTGGAGCATTTCTGGATGGCACTATCGCCCTCAGTACTCAAAACCGGTTCGGTATGTATCATTGTAAATTCGGGTATAAGTTAAAGGTACGGAAAATTTTCCCGAGGACACTAAAATCATGAGGATGTGGCCGATGGGTCCTGAGTACTCAATATAACCACCAGTTATCCTGTTTCAAAGTTCAACATCAAAATCACAGAACTTATAAGCTCTTCCTTTGACATATCGAGTTGTAGGATCAAAATAACACTACGTAGAGTATCGAATTGTGGAAACATCGACTAATGAAAAGTACGATGCATGGAAAAATCTGACACACTCAATTCATCGAGTAATAGAGAATGACTGTATTTACAAACAAGTATAAAGTCGAGTTTGATTGTTCAGCCAAAGCAGAAATCCACTCTCCTTGATTGATCTTCTGTTCAATCGTTATGTCCATTTTTTAAGAGTTACAGTTATAGGGAGCTGCACCGTCAGGTTAACCTCACATTTTTGATATCTGGCAGTGGTTTGTTTCCATGGTCTTAGAAAAAAAATTATTAAATGTTTTTTAGATTTTTTGGAAAGGAATATTTTTTAAACGAACATAGTCGGATACTCGGTCGGATGTCATATTTT